TAGAGTCTAATAATAAAAACTTATACAAGAAAAAAATAAAAATTGTTTTAAATAATTAATAAGTACAACGTTTGTTCGTCCCAGGTATTAACCCAAACCCATGCGGCCCTGTGTACTCGGCGACCAAAGCAGCTGTCCTCATGTACTCCTTGTCCTGGGCGGTGAGTGGTGTTGTTGTTTTTTTTATAGTAGAGGGTTTTACTACGCTCGTAACTGCATAAGGTCATATGAGCGCCAAGGGGCGGGTGTCAACAGAGAAGTCTTTACAGGGAATCAGACTTAGACTGCTCACCTCTCTAGCTTCAACAGCACAAGGTCTGCTTCGACTCTCAAGGCACCCCAAAATAGCAGGTCACAAGAGAGTGACAAACATACAAAAGAAGTAGAGGGAACTAACAATAGAGAGGATCAGGAAAGAAAAAGCAGCAGTTCCCTGTTGTAGATCAGGCACAGTTATGAGCGTGACATGAGTCAGCCCATTTACAATTCTACAATGCTTGAACGAGAAATGTCCCCCCTTTAGGTAGGGCTGGGCAATGAGTCGCTTTGGCAAAATCCGGATAATGTGCCAGTGCATCTCTTCGGCAATTATATGTGTTATGAACTGCTTCAGCAAATGAGTTAGAACCTCATCAACAAGTATGCAACCACTAAGACTTCTGCAAACGGGTAAGGAAAGAGAGTTTAAGTCTAAATTCGGATAATGTTTATTTCAGAATTATGCGGTTATCCGGATTATAGGTTATCCGGATTTTGCCCATCACTACCTTTAGGGTCTCTCGCGCGCGTCACGGCGCCGTGAAATCAGGCGCTCGTCAATTTAATTTAATTTATTTTTTTTGGGGGGGGGCATAATAGGGATTTATTTATACCCTCTTAAATCTTGTTCATTTGTCTTGCTTTTGGTGAAACAATACACCTGCTGTGTTTCTGAAACAGAAGTTGAACAGAAGTCGAGATATTGGCGACAAAAGGGGGTTGGCATCGTTTGATGTCAGAGGTAAAATTAGAGAACAAACGGCCGCCAAAGTTTGGTGATGTCCAAAGTTTGAGTGTCCTTTGAAACTGCAATATTTACATTTCTATGCATTTGCTTTCCAGTTCAATCCATGAAAAAAGAAAATATAAATATGTTATTTACAAAATATAACCCCCC